GGCGGGTCACCTCTCCCGCTGGAGAGCGCGGCCGGCCAGGGGCTCGAGGCCGGAGGACGGGGGATGCAGGGGGGCTTCGGTGGCCCGAGCAGCGGGGTCCCCGGGGCGGGAGGCGCCTCGGGCCGCAGCCGGGTCGTGGCGGCGTTGGGCGAAGGGGACCCTGCTCGGCTGCTTCCGCCAGCCCTGTCTTCAGAAGTTGGGGTCGAGATGTGCAGCCCCGCCTGGGCCTCTTCCCATCCGATGGTTGCGGAGAGCCTACTTCCTGGAGCCCGGGTCTTGTTTTGGCTGTAGAAAGGCTGTTAAGGGCTGAGTGTTGTTGTGGCCTTCGGGGAGAGCTCCTAGTTTTGGAACTCTTCCGTGGTGCTATTTCCCCCTTGCAGCCCCCTCGGAAATCCGTGCCGAGAGTCATATTAGAAACCAGCCTGTGGGTATTTGTAGCTGACTCTTGCCCTTGAGTTTGTCGCTTTTAATCAAGGTTGTGTGTAAGATGTCGTAGAACATTCGGTTGGCTTCAGAGCAAGTCCTGAGTTGAGCTGTCCAAAGCAGGTGGCTTCTTCGTTTGCATTTCTACTTTCAGAAAGGAAATCAAGGCAATGTGCTGTCAGAAGTTGGGGGCCTCCCCCACGCTGTTATCCTGTCTAATTTCCTTTAGCTGATGCTGTTTTCTGTCTTAAAAGTAAGAACAAATGACTGCTGCCTTATATTTATTAAAGCTCTTACGACTTTCTTGTTACTGTTGTTAAATGAAAATAGAAAATGGGTTCAACTCACCGTGTAATAACACAATTTGGCACCTTTACTTTGTACAGATCACAGGACGAAAATCTTACCAAACTGGTTGAGAAGTTCTAGATAGCAAGGAAGCTTATGGGACTTGGGGTCTGCCGTTGTATACTGTTTTTTTGTGTGTGCACAGTTAAAATTTTAATTGTAAAGTGTTACCGTTTAAAATAATTTGTCAGCTAAAGTAACTCATTAACGTAAATACAGCATAATAAAATATATTGTGTGGAAATTAAAATGCATCAGAGTACTGAAGTAGTCTAACAGAAAGTCCTGATAGCAAGAGACATTGAGACATTAAGAATGTTACAAAACTTCGTACACGTTAAGATTGAGCCCCTGACTACCATCCCCCAGATACATTTAAATGTACTTTTTTAAAAATGCCAAAAGTAGGAGCTTAGTTCTAAGGACTACCACAGATGGTAATATTTACCATCGTTAGGTAGGAAAGGCGTTCTTATATTGCGCTAGCATACCGAAGTTTTGTAATGGGTAAGATACTGACTTTCTAGAAAAGCATTGGTCCTCTTCCTTTTATCTTTCAGCTTATTGTTTAATGTTAGTGAGAACTTGCCCAATTAGTGTACTTAGTAGTTTCCTTTGTTGTTTGGAGAGGGGCTCCGTTTCTGTGAAATACTTTGACCTTATATCCATTATCTATTTAGGGCTCCCATAAGAAAATACTAGCAAGCATTCTTTCCTAGTGAAGTTGATGTCCAGCATTGTATGTTCATATCCTGCAGTGCTTTAAAATTTAATCACAGTGCCACTCAAATTTGTACATAGGAATTCTACTTCAGATCCAGTTTGAATATATAGAGAGTACTTTATGAACAGGTTTAGCTTGGATTGTCTAGTAAGGTCCTTAATTTTAAGGAACACAAAAGTAACTTTTCAGTGAGTTAACTCATTAATGTTGTTTTAAGATAATCTATAATAAACACTTGTTCCTTTCAATTTTTCATGCAACTTGGAACTAATTCAGTCTTTTATAACTTGTGAAGCAATCCAACAAACACCAACATTTTAGGAAAACTTAAAATGGCACAAAGTTTTCCTGGAACCTAAGTATTTAAAAGAATACCTCCTCTCTGCTCCACTGCTCTCTTTTTAGAAGGATTAGTTGAAAGCTCTTGTTTCTCTTAAAATTGAATGTGTCCAAAGTTACAACAGTGAACAGTAGAAAGGAAAAGTGCCTTTGCAAGGTAACCAAGTAAGTGATAGGGAAGACTTAAGTCTTTTTGTTTTAGTTTTTTTTTTTTTTTTTTTTTTTTGGTTTTTCTCCGGTACCAGGAACCGAACTCACGACCTTGCGCTTGCCAGGCAGGCGCTTTTGTTGTTGAGCTAAATCCCCAGCCCCTTGTTTTAGTTTTTGTTTTTTTTTAATTTGAAGATTGCTTGCAGTAAGCAATCAGGTATGTAGCTCAATGACTTTTTTGCACGTTACTGGGGTTTGAAGCCAGGGCCTTCGCACTGAGCTACAACCCCAGCCCTTTTTTTTTTAAATTTTGAGTTGATCTCACTAAACATCTTAGGCTGGAATTGAACTTGTGATCCTTACCCCTCCCAGAATGCTGGAATTATAGGTGAGCGCCACCATGCCCTGCTAGCTCCATGGATTTTTACAAATAAACACACCTATGTACCTCTTACCTGTTTCAGTATTTAAAGCATTTTCAGCTCTCAAGAGAGCCCCTCATGTCCGCTCTTTCCAGCTATTCCTGAGGAAGCTATATTGTTTTGCTTTGGTTTGCTTCTTTTTTTTTCTTTTTACATAGCACTGGAGGATTCAGCCCAAAGCCTTAGCAGCACGCTAGCCAGGATGTTCTACCACTGAGCCACACACCCCCAGCCCTACTTTGCCTACAGCGTTTTGAATTTTGTACAGTGTATATTTAAATTTTTTTTTGGAACAGGTACTATTGCACATTCTTGTACATGTCTTAGTGTACATATATTTGTTAAGGTTCTGTTGAATATGTGCAGAGAGAAATTGCAGGTCATAGAGTAGACATTCACTAACCAAGTTTCCACAGTGGTTGTATCAGTTTATACTTTAGTGACATTGTATGTGAGAATTCCGAAACATATATTTTGATTGTCTAACATTTCTGTAAAATTTAAGGTTCAAAGCTGAGAATGTTAATCTAATGCTTAGATTAGCCTATTAGAATAAATAATGGTTCATGTTCTGTTTTTAGATATGGCTCGTGGGCAGCAGAAGATTCAGTCTCAGCAGAAAAATGCCAAAAAGCAGGCTGGACAAAAGAAGAAACAAGGGCATGATCAAAAGGCTGCTGCCAAAGCTGCCTTAATATATACTTGCACTGTCTGCAGGGTAAGAGTACTTGAAAGGCATAGTTTCCTTGTGGGTAATTCTTTCACTGTAAATTGGTTTGCATGGTTAAAATTTTATAATCATAGAAAAATAGTTGGTTTATTTGATAGTTTTTTTGGGGGGGTGATGCTGGGAATCAAACACAGGGCCTTGCATGTGCTAGGCAAGTACTGTACCCCTGAGCTACACTCGCAACTCCCGAAATAGTAGACAGCCAGGTAAGAATCCATCTTTATTCACACATTCAACGACTATTTTTTGCGTGGCTTCTGTGGCCAGGCACCATTTCTCTAGGTTCCGGATGACAGATATGAACAAAACAAAGTCCCTTTCCATATAGAGAATAAAGATATCCTCAGTGAGGACATATAATGCACTTTAAACTCTGTAATGGAGTCGGATTTATAATCGTAGTTTAAATCTGACAACTTTGCACTGTGCTGTTGAATATATCTATGGTTATATAATGCCTACCCTTCACTAAATCCGTAGTTAGAACATATATAAAACCACAAAGAGTGTATTCATGTCGAGGGCTTTTACTGGAATTAATACGTTTTACAGATTTAAAGACTAGGCTAACAACAGCTACTCTGTGGGCTTACCATGTGCCAGGCACCAACCCAGATGTTTTGCATATATCCACCTGTTTAATTTTCACAACAACTTTATGAGTTACACTTTTATTTTCATTGTAGAAAACAGTAAACTCAGTTATGGGAATGAAATAACTTATGTAGGTCTTCCAGCTAGTAAAGTAAGAGAGCTGGGATCTGAACCCAGGGAGTGCAACTCCGGAGTCCACCTGCCAGACCACTGTTCCACACTGCCTTTCAAAGAAGTCTTTCTCAAATTCCAAGTCAGGCTCTTTTTTTCATGTTTGTGATGACTCACTACTGCCCTTGATGTCATTGAATGGAAGTGCCAAAGGACAACATAGTGGAGTTGGTCCATGCCTGTACACACAGTTTTCAAGCCCCCATACCTGAGTAGGGTTGATGGTGTGCATGTCAATGGATCTTGATAAGACATGAGATTCCTGGACTAAAATTTGTCATCTTCAGTCACCAATGAACTAGAAGTTCCTAACTATACAAAAGTTCTCATTGAGAGAAAGAATCTATTACATGAACTGTCTTACTCATACTGAACTTTGATACACTAAAGGTAATGAAATTGAGCAGCCTCTGATTCTGTTCAGAAATAAGGTGAAAATGAATTTCACAAGATTAGTGATGAAGAACTAGTTTGAGCTAAAAGTATAAGCATAGCTCACATTTAGAAACTCAAAACCAAAACCTTTTAATTAATGTTTGTGTACTTAAATCTGTTGAAAAATAGTTTTTCAGAGGGAAGCTGTTACTGTATACAGTAGTGTGTTGAGAGCTGAAGTACCTGATACTGTGTTAAAGCATCACTCTTGGACAAAGTAAACTCTGGGTTTTAGTTTCTTCCTTGTGTAAAATGAGAACAGTAGTAGGAGCAAAGAATAACTGATGGTTCTGTGAGAATTAAGGTAACAAGCTTAACTAAGCAAAGGGCCAGGAAATGGTCCTGTTGTTTGTTCTTAATGAGATAAAATATTGTGTGACCTAACCCCCTTCTTTATATGTAAAATGAGAGAATGTTAGGAATTTGTTTTTCATAAGGTACCTCTTCATATGCCAGCAGCTGAGTTGTAAGAACTAAAGCATTTTTTAATAATTGTCAAGAACAAGTTCATTTTGTATATAAAGTGACTTTTTTTTACATACTTTTTAGACACAAATGCCAGACCCTAAGACCTTCAAGCAGCACTTTGAGAGCAAGCATCCCAAGACCCCACTTCCTCCAGAATTGGCTGATGTGCAAGCATAAAGTTGTTTACAGGTAGTTGACTTTTTTTCTGTAGACTTGTTTATGTCAGGTTTGAATACAAGAGCAAAACTGTCTTCTGTAACTGAAGTTAATTTCTGCATTCTTACACTTCGTTTTGCTTTTTTAAGTTGTTTAACTTCGTTGGTAGAGTTGAACTGTTCTTACTTACAGTTTACTAAGACACTTGTTAAGTCCTTTCCATGCTTTTAAACACTCAAGTTTTTACCAAAAACTGGGAAAATGAGTGGATGCTGGCCACCTCTGACCAAAAAATGAAATAGATTCGCCAGCCACAGGAAAGTGGTAATTTCAGATGTACTTTAGGATCTTCCAAAAGTGATGCAGATCAATTTCCTGAGCACAGGTTTATAGTATCTTACTTCAAGCACGTAGCAGAGCTGCTAAGTATTAAAATACAGAGCAAAATGTAGGTGTAGAGACGGACTTGATAGTCTTTTATCTTAAACACTTGAAATGCATATAATAGCTGCATTTGTAGTGATTGCATTCACTGAAGTGTTTCCTTGTGTTTTATAGGTGAATTCATGACACCTTTGACTCTTCTACTGTCTCAGATCTTAGGTAACAAACCTGCAGCTGCTTTTCTAACAAACTGTTGATCAGCAAAAATAAAGGGGCTACAGAAACACTCATTTTTATGCTGTTCCCTTTTGGGCTTCATGCAAAGACAATTCTGTGTAAATGTACAGTTGACTCTGATTTGGAAATCTGAAAATCAGTCCATCCTTGTTATAAAAAATTTTTTTACAATTGTAATTATATTGATGTTCATATCGTGTAAAATAACTCATTTAATAAAGTAGTACTTTGATTTTACAACATCACAGGACAAGTGGTTCTAGAAATTCTGTTGTAACTTTCCTTATTATTTGCCTTATAAAAGTCTAATGAATTCATCAGCGAGAATTGCAAATGGAATTCTTATCATGCTTTGCCAGCTCGGTGGCAAATTCGTTAACCCTAGGGTAGACTCATACATCAAAATTGTGCGCACCACCGTATTGGCAGCTGATGATCGAGGTGAAGAATGACATCTGCTGCTTAATACATTGCAGTTGTGTGTCGTTGCCCCTTCTGATTATCTCTCATTTAAAGTTGGAGGATTTAAACTTGCCATTTGAACTGACTCTAGCCTACACATAACTGATAAACCCATAAAGGGAGTGGATCTTCAGTGACTTCTCCTGAAAGATTAGGTTCTGAGGTATGTGCTGTAACAAAATAATTGTTAGGGTTACCGTTTCACACCAAGTAAGATAGAAGAAATGTGAACTGGTAGATATCTACCTTTTATAAATTTATATTAAATTCTTTCATTATTATTCAGGTACTTGAATTTGAAATTGAAACATTTAAAGGAATTTTCGGAAGTTACTATTTTGCCAATTTTATGAATGGGTTTTTGCATTAGCAGGAAGACCTTAATGACTTGTGGCTGGTTATTTCCCAGAATGCTCTCATTTTCTAAGTGAATTGTTGGTTTTAGGAATTTACTTTGTGCTGGTTCCTAAAATCAAAGACTACATGTACAGTATGACTTCCATCTGAACTACAAAAGTATTATAGTCCAGAGTTCACATTCTTTTGGATCTAAGGATGGGGAAGTTTTCTTCAGCTGAATAAGGTAAATTCCACCCAATTAAAGACTAATGTTAGCATTCTTATAATTTAGTTTTGTCAACTATCGTACAAGTGAAACTGCTGTAACTCATTTAAATTTTAAAATTAACGTGATAGGAAGAACACTGAAATATTTAACTGATAATTGCTTAGAGCTGCATATCTGATCCTGTGGATTATAAAATGCATTCCCTCTTTCTGCTGTAACCCATCACTGCATTTGTTTTGTAACTGCTCCCTTTGTCTTCACTGTTAAGTTTAAATATCTGCAAGGAAAGTCTTCAGTACTGATAGTTTCTTAGCATTTCCTATTCTTTGACCCTTACTTTAAAATACAGTCCTTTCGTTTCATGTATTTAACTTCCTAAGTTTCAGACTTAATATCTGTTTCCTAACACGTTGATTACCAGAACATTAGGATTTTACCTAATTTCTTGTGGATGGTACAGAAGTTCTGGTTAAATTACAATTTAAAAGCTTTTGAAAATGCTTTGAGCATTGTATGTTTATTTTTAGTAACATTATTTAAACCCCATTCATGAATTTTGGATTAACTTTTTTGTTTTATTGACTGTAATTCACAATAAAAGTTTTTTCTTGTATTTGACCTTCTTATAAGCAGCTGAAGACACCATATTTGATTCTGTATCTCAACGTAGGGAAGTAGTTGGACTGATCTTACATAAGACAATTCTTAATATGGGGATTGTACATACAATCCTTCCTTTACTGTGTTTGAGCTAAATTTGCTATAAAGAGAAAGTTACAACTCTTAAACATGTTATTTCATTTGAAGATTCTTTAACAGATCATAGCAAACTTTGTTTTAAAGCTGTTGTGGTGTCTTCAAAAACTTGATAAAATGCACAGAGAGAATTGGTCCGTTTGTGTTCTGTATTTACATTAGTTGCCAAAAGAAATGGGGTTAAGTTTAAGCTTGTTTCCATTCTATTCATGTGGATACACATCCCCGTGTTTAACTGACCACTGGGGCCTCAGTTTTGTGCTGTAATGTCGTATTAAAGAAGATATTAAAGAAAACCAAACTAGTCTAATTTCTTCTATTTTTTAAAGAGGTTTTTATGTTGCCTCTTACTCTTGTTTTTTTTTTTCTTTTTTCTGAACTTAGATTTGTCTAGTGTAGCTAGGTAGTCTAAGGGTGACAATTGATCTCTTTCACTCTTCATTGTTTTCCTTGCATTGTGTCTATTTTGTGTCTGTAGGATACTTAAGAATGAGAGGGAAAAGGGCTGTCATTTTGAAGCTTTGCTGTATAGAGGGAGTTAATACGAGTTGTAAAGGGGAGGTAGCTGACTGTTAACGCCAAACAAAACATGCCCAGTTAGTTAAGTTATATGGTTAGTCCTTATGACTTTAAGATTTAAGCTAATACTTTCGGATTTATATTAAAGGTATTACATAGATAATCATCATAATTCAAACCTGAAATGTGGCAAGAACAAGGTAGAACTTACCAGCGTCGCTGTTGGATACCTCACACCTGTGTTTTTAATTTTTAATACGAGGAATACACTTTGCTTGTTTTTAAATGTGGCTAATGTAAAGGCCTTTTTTTATAATACAGTGGTAAACCACTGTCTAAACTGTAACTGAAATGTTTTATTTAAATAAGTCTGAGTTAATTCATTTGTACTAGTTCAGGGTTTTTTTGTCTTTCGCTGTTTTTCTTTAGGAATGTATAACAGTGAAGATCAACACTAGGGGTTGTTTACTGTCCTTTACTTTCTGAAATAGTGCAGGCTAGCTTTTAGTGTAAAATTTTCAGAAAAATTGTAAGAGCAGCTTTCAGTGTACAGGTTTAATAAAGCATCTATGTACTTGGCTGAGAAAATAGATGTTTTATTAATAAAAGCTTGTCATTGTGGATTACCATGTTAAACCGAAAACGTCTTATTTTAAATATTCTTTTGATAAGCTGTTTACTGGATAACCCTTTTTGTTAAAGCAAACATTCTTTGACTTCAATTTTTTGTGTATGGTATGGCTCCAAATATAAAATCGGTACTTACAGAGACAGACTTCAGTCACTCATTCACTCATTCATTTTGTGGTACTCGGGATTGAACTCTGAGGACCTTTGTACTGAGCTACATCTCCCAGCTGTTTCTTTTTTTTTTTCTTATTTTGGGAAAAGGTCTTGCTAAGTTGCCCAGGCTGGACTCTATGACTTGCAATCTCATTTTACTTTTTTTTTTTTTTTTTTAAATAAAAACACTTATTGTTCTGCTAAATCATATATACTGTAAAATTTAGTTTTACTATGTATATAGACTTGATTTTTTTCCATTTTAGGAAAAGGTAATCCCGCACAAATATATTATTATTTTAGAGACAAAGAGGTATGTGAAGTTCAGTTTTTGTCACTGAAGTAAAATCATGTGCCAAGCAGCGGGAAGAGTTCGCAGAGGGGAAGTGGACTTGCAGACTCGGCTTGGAGCTGGCTATTCCAAAAAATGCAGTCTGTCTGTCAAAAAGTTGTCCAACTTTAGACCAAAATGTTAAATATTTTAGAAGTTGACTGACACCATTTTAAAAGTTGATAATTCTTTTTTTTCTTTTTTTTTGAGACAGGGTCTCGCTATGCAGTTCCGGCTGACCTTTAGCTCACTTTGTAGCCCAGGCTGGCCTGGAACTCGCAGTGGTCCTCCTGCCTCAGCCTCCCAAGTGCTGGGATTACAGGCGTGTGCCACCATGCCCTGCAAAAGTTGATAATTCTTCTCTAGTTTTTTGAGACAGGCTCTCGCTCTCGCTCTCGCTGTTTAATTCAGGCTGGGTTGGGATTCTCCTGCCTCAGCCTCTTGAGTGCTGAGATTACAGGCATGGCCACCATGCCTGGCAAAGGTTAATTCTTACGAGAAACTATTGCAAGAGAAAGACAGCTTAGATAAGATAACTAATGAGTTACTTTGTAGTTCAAAGTACTTTTCTCCTTTGAAAATAAAGTTAACTCATCCTTTAAATGAATCCAGATAAAACCAGATTTCTGTAACACAAAAAAATGTGAAGAATTTTAAATATTTGGATGTGGGCGTCGGCTAATTATTTTTCCTGTCTCATTTTCTAATCACTTTTTTATGTATACAGCATCATTTGTAGGGCTTAGATTTTTGTAGATCAAATAAGTGTCTTATTTTGTCACTACCTTCTGTAAAATTCAGAATAGGACTTGTGCTTTTGATTCTATTTTATTAAAATTTTAATTGCCAGGATTTATACCATCAAATTAGTAAAACAATGTAAAATTGTTTCTCAAAGTGAGATGTACAACTAGGGTGACATGTATCCTGGTTTGCCAAAGATAGTCTTGAGTCAAATAATAATTTAATATTAAGTATAAAATTAATACTGTTTTGAAATACCAAAATGTCTTGGTATTAAATCTTAACATTGCCTCTTTTTTTATTATCTTTAAAGTAGTTATTTGGAGTACAAAACATGGGCATTAAAATTTTCTCTAATTGATATTAGCACAAAGCTTCCCTTTGAATGAAGTAGGACACCAATATTATAATTGACTTTTTTCTTTCTTTTTCCCTTCCATCCTTTCTCCCCAATCCTAGTTCCCATTTCCCTTTGAACTATTTCTTTCCATCTCAAAATACCTGTTGTACATTTTAGACCTTATTCACTCTTTTGGTTTCTTACACCAGGGAAACAATACAATGTTTACACACATGCATTTGATTTATTTGACCTACAAGTATGGCCTCAAGTTGCAACCATTTACCTATAAAAGTCTCCAGCCTATCCTTTATGGCTGAGTAGTACTCCATGTGTACAAATACCACATCTTTTTTTGACCATTCCTTGGTTGATGAGCATTTGGATTGTTTCCAAGAGTTAGCTGTTACAAATTGTGCTTCTATAAATATGGGTGCACATATATCACTGTGGTACAATGTTTTTAATTCTTCTGGTAAGATATCCAGAAGGGGAATAGCTGGGTCAAATGGGACCTCTAATCCTAGCTTTTTGAAGAATTTCCACACTGGTTTCCACAGTGGTTGCACCAATCTGCGTTCCCACCAGCAGTGGAGGAGGATTCTTTTTTTCCCCATAGCCCCACCAGCATTTGCTATTGGTTGATTTGATAGCCATTCTTTCTGGGGTGAGATGCAATCTCAGTGTTGTTTCAATTTGCATTTTTTGAATGATCAGTGATGTTGAACATTTTTCATATATTTGTTTGCCATTTGTATTTCTTCATCTGAAATGCACATTCATCTCATATGCTCACTTTTGGATTGGATCTTTAAATTTAGGGGGGGTCTGATTTTTTTTTTTTTTTTTTTTTTAGTTCTTTATATGTTCTAGATAGAAGTACTTTGTCTGAGGGACATCTGGCTAAAATTTTTTCCCACTCTGGGTTGTCTTTTCACTCAGTTGATGATTCTTCGGATGTGCAAAAGCTTTTTAATAAGATCCCAGTTGTTGATTTTTTGAATTATTTCTTATGCAGTCTGGGTTTTGTTCATGAACTCTCTGCCTGCACCTGTATCTTCAGGTTTTCTACCTACTTTCTCTTCCAATAGATCTAGTGTTCCTGTTTGAATATTTAGATCTTCGATTCATTTTGACTTTAGTGCATGGTGATTGACATGGTTGTAGTCTTAGTCTTTGGCACGTGGAAAGCCAGTTTTTCTAGCACCATTTATTAAAGAGGGTTTTTTTTTCAATAAATATATTTGGCCCCTTTGTCAAAGATAAGGCGGCCCAGTTTGCTTAGAGTTGTTTCTGCATCTTTTAATCAGATGTAGAATTTTTTTAAAGCTCTTTGTAATACCAGAAATTCTTATGCATTACATGGGACCATGTGATGCTGGCATATGATATTGGCAAGATCTTTTTTTTAACCTATTTTAAATTTTATTTTCAAAAATCTTGTGACTTTAATAAAATAGATTCTAAAATTTTGAAATAGAGTATTCATGTAAGTTTTATATTTTTTGTATCACTTCGGACCTTTGCACCACTTCACCTCACCAGAGGACTTACACAGTAGCCAGTAGGACTGATGGAACTGTGGTTGGCTAGGACTCTTTGGCTAATGTAAGAAAGGAAATGGACTGGAAAGTGGACAATCGCTGCTCTAAAATATTGAATACTTGTGTGTAATCTAAATTTTTGATAGAGGAAGCTTCTGCAGTTTCAGCTTCCCCACCTGTAGCTGTGCTATATTTGCCAAAACGAAGAAGCCAATATTGACGTGTTCCTGTTACTCCAGTTTTTCTGTTCCTGTCTTTCTCTTCTAGAATTCAGTCCAGGACACAGCATTCAGTCCTTACTCCTTCATCTTCTCTGCTCCTAGACAGTTTCTCAGTCTTGCCCTTGATTTTCATCACCTGAACAGTTTGAGGCAAATGAGATGGGTGGGATGTAGAGTATTCCTCAGTTTGGGTCTGTTTGATGTTTTTCTTCTGGCTTCCCTGGGGTGGCAGGTTTCGGGGAAAGACCACCACAGAGGTACCATGGCTTTCTTGTGACATCATCTTGGGTGTACATTGTTACCACGTGATGTCATTTAGTGCTACTACCCTTCACTTGGTTCAGGTGGTGCCTGCCAGGTTTCTCTGGGAAGTTAACTAGTTTCTCCTTTACATGAGAAATCTATGGGAAGTAAGTCCAGCCCTTACTTAAACGGTATGGAGGCTAAGTTCCACTTTTTGTGGGGGATAGTATATTTGTTTTCCCAGAGAGAATATGTTCTCCCCATTTGTTCAATCGTTTATTTGTATTCATAGGGACTCCTTAGCCAGTACTATATTATTTGTTACCCAAATTATTCCAACTTTGGCTTATGGGGAGTTCTTTCAGATTGACCCCTATATCCCTTTGATAACCCTTAGCCTTCTGTTTTTTGTTCTGTTTTGAGAATTGCCTTTTAATATTAGGCAGCATGCCAGGTTCATCCTTGAATTCCTTGCTCTACCCCTAGAATGAGCCATTTCTCCAAGGACCCCTGATTCCCCTCACTAGAGAATAATTTTTAAAGCCTAAATTTGGGCAGTGGACATGAGTTGTGTTGCAGGTGTTTTGTTTTGTTTTGTTTTTAGGTACGTAACGTTGAACTCTTTTTCTACCATTGGCTGATACTTGAAGATCATTGGAAGACTGTCTTCAGCCCACATCTCTTGGCGATGAGCTCCTTTAAGTCACCAGCATATTTACTGACAATAATATACGTGAAGTTGTTTCATAAGATGTAAAGCAAAACAATTTATCACACAAAGAAATGGAACAAAAGTCCCTAATCTTTAGGTAATAACAGATAATGTGTGTGTTTTAGTTGTCTTAGGCTGGGTGGTTGTGTTTGGTGTATTCTGTAGATGGTAAATTCTGTAGCAATATAAAAAGAGGGGTCATGTGTACAGGAGGAGTGGCTTGTGGACTGAAGAGGTCAGTCTGTGCCTGGATGGGCGTCAGCTGAGTGGGGAGAGGAGCAGGAACGAATAGGGCAGGCCAGGTGGGGGTGGCTGAGTGAGCAGAAACTCAAGGGAGCACATAATGTTTCTTTGAGAGAACGTGCGTGGGCCAGTTGGAGCTCAGGCTTGTGAATGCGAGCCTTTGAGCTCGGGATGAGCGTGGAAAGCAGGCAGTAGAATGGGGCCAGATTGTGCAGTGTGTGTGCCCTGCAGTAAACTGTTCACATTACTCAGGACACTCAGCAGCCTTTCTGGGTCTGGGAGCAAGGAAGTGATGAGATGCAGGTATCCTAGGAAAAACTGTTGGTACTACTTTGGTAGAGATCTTTTATACCCTTTTGTCCCTTCTGTTTATTAGCAAATATACTGTCTAGTCTTTTCTTTTTGGTTTTTTGAGACACGGTCTTGCTGTTTAGTTCACAATGGACTTTTTTGCTCTATTATAATGCATTAGTGCTACTTAGGCCACCAGGAGCTGGGCTGAGGGATGTTTGTCTCTGCATTAAATCCCTGGCTGCATTTTCTCTGACCATGGTATTTGTCATCTGTTTCATTATAAAAGTAATACATTTAGAAATACATTTTACTCTATATAGAATTTGGAGGATATAGTAAAGTTGAATTTTAAAAATTCAGTAGTACTAAACCTTTTCGGTGAATAGTATATTTTTCTCACACGTGCACATGCATGTTTTTAAAATTAATGCTAACTTACAAATTGTGTCGTCATTGTTTGCATATCATCTTGGTACTTAACTGTTTAACACAAATACAGTTTGTTACAAACCTTGTGTAAGTGGGATTTTTTGGCTGCATTGTGATCCGCTGGTAGATTCGCTATCTTTTTTTTAACCATTCTACTTGGATGTTTAGGATTTTCTCTAATTGATGTAGTATGTCTTATTTCCACGTTTAGAAGTATATATCAGATAACCTTAGCACTCTTGCTGAGAAGCACATGGTGAGATGAAGTGTTGTAGTCTACATTGGACCCACAATGTTAGAAGGTTATTGCGTTACCTTTAGGACTAGCACCAGGTCAAGAATTTGGTTGTTTAAGCATGATGTGTTCCTTTGCATTCTCCTGAACATTTAAATTACATTTGTTTTCCAGACCTAGTTTCTGTTTTTTGAGTTACTCATTGCTCATTTGTGCACTCAGCTGCCCGCCATAAAGTAGGAAGAGCTGAAAACTGCAAGGAATTACCAGATAACTAGCATTGAAAACCCAGAACCTGTTTTATACACACCACAAAATGGTAGTTTCCGGCTGCACTGCTTGCTGGAAGTCTTAACAGAGGACTGCAGTCTAAAGCTGCAGGTTACATTTAAGGCCTGTTTATCATTCAAGACTCATGAAATTTGATCTTCATTTATTGAACCTATTTTGAAGAAATAGGGAAAGTAATTTTTGTTACATTATTTCAGCAAGCTATGATAACACCACAGCCCGTTATATTTTCTAAATTTTATTTCTGACCTGCTTTTTGCTGTGTTGTTTTTCTTATTAATCCGTATGGTAACAAAGTAGAGTTTGAGCCTTGTCCTAACAGGCCAGGCATTTATGACAAGAACGAAGTTCTTAAGAAGAATAAAAGACTGGGCTAAATAATGAGTGCAAAGCCAGCCTGAATGACAGAGCCAAGACTCCATCTCAGAAAAAGAAAGAGAATTTAGAACTGCTTGTAGATGAGCTTGAACAGGTTACTTCGTGTTTCTGAGCTGCACAGTAGCGTCTTCAGTCACCTCTCTGAAATGGAGGAACTAGTAGCTACCCTGAAGAGTTGGGCCTTGACAAATACATGAAATAATGAGCATAAAGCACTGGTGTAATCGCTGGCACGCAGTCATTCTTAGCATTCTTCCCCGTGTCCCCTTTCTCTCATCCTGCTGCCGAGTACACAGTGTGTCCTCACGAGGGCCTTTCTCACCTGGGGCCACTGTGCTTCTCGTTAGGACTGAAACGATTTCTCTGCTCCCGGCCCATCTCTTCCTGTCGAAATGCTACTCATTCTTCAAGGCTCAGCTGTAATGCTGATTTTTTTTCCTGAAGCTCAGCAGTTAAAAATATGTACAGATTTTGGGGAGAAAGGATATACAATATGAAATATGAAACAAGATACCAAACTATTAAAAAATAGTGTCAAGAGACTACATTTAGAACGACACCAGAAATGAGTGTGGGATAGCACAATCTTTGTTCTTTCTTCACCATGTGCTCCTGCTTACCTTGTTGTTTTGATTAGGTTTTGCGGGTTTTTTTGAGACGGCCTCGCTATATGGTTCAGGCTGACCTTGAATTATATAACCCTGGCTGGCCTTGAACTTGCAGCAGTCCAAGTGCTGGGATTACAGGTGTATGCCACCACGCCCAGCTTGTGTTTACCTTGTACTTTGTAAACACTGTGAAAATGAAGTGATCCATTATGATGAAATATGAAGATGTGGTTTCATTGAGTCTTCTCTTGGCCTTGATTAAATACTGCTCAAAAAGCTGTAAATTTTGTAGAGAAGTGATAAAAGCAGGAGGCTATCCAGTAGACTAAAGATAAATAATTTGTCTTAATTTTTTAAAAGTATATGTATATATATATATAACTTGCTCTTGGCCTCCAGGTAAATATTTTTTACTGTGAACCTCATTCCTTGGCAATCAGATCTTTGACTGATTTCATGTATAGTTTTATTTCTAGTCTCTTCCTCTAACCACATCTGTTTTCTCTGCAACAGAGAAATTCTACAACGCATTTCCAGCCCGATCGCCTCCACTGCCATAGGGACTCTCGGTGGCCCGTCAGGTGAACCGTGCTCCTGGGCATGGCTGCCATGCTGTCTGCTCAGTCTGGCCCCGTGTGCTTGCAGCCCCTCCCATGCCTTCCTTCACCGTGTGCTCCTGCGTGGGTGAACTGTGTACTTGCCTTCGCCGAATGACTCTCACTACCTCTTTCAGGGCCTCCGTGCAGGCTTTCTCCCGCTTATCTGAGGCGCAGCTTTCTCTGCCTCCATATCCTTAAGCGCTGCCTCTGATGCTGCCAGTCTAGTGGGATCGCTCCTCCTGAGACTCACACCTCTTAAAGTAATCTTTTGTCTTTTCAGCGTTATGTGTACGTACTGTTCTTCAGAATCCTGAGTAACAGAAATGGTCTTTTCTTTTTTTGCCTACTTAAATTTTGTGAGTGAGCGAACAACTGTTATCTTTAGATGTAACATTCCTTAAATTGCAACAAATTGTGATTTGTCCATTCTCCATGCTTTTGTGGATTACTTTTTTATGAACTTTAGAAAATTTATTTTGGACTACTAAAGTGGTAAGAGAAATGCTCATGTAGGCAGAGCTATATACGTATAGAGTATAATTTACATAATATTTATTTTTGAACATAAAATATATATATATAAGCTTGAAGTCAGAGGTGAGCTTGATAGTCTTAATTTTAGCAAGGCAGTATAATTTATGTTCACCTTAGCAAGATTTTGTACAAGTATAGTACATTTGAGTGGACTTAAATATATTTTAAATTTTTATACTGTGATGTTTAATACATTAGGCCCACTTTTTAAGTTCACATGACTGTCCTATCCTCTTTTAAGTGTGTGTATGTGTGCATGTGGGTCACCACTTTAGGGATACCCAAACATGAAATGAAAATTAATAAAGAATTACAGTTTAGAAAGATTTAAAGCTGAAACAAATTTTTTTTGTGAAATAAAACCAATAAAAGTTTAAGTACAATAAGTGCAAAACCATTTAAGATTTATGAAAATTGCATTGCATGAGTCCAAAATACAGACAGCAATCTGTCTTGGTATTTTTTCATGTAAAAGGCAGTGTGCTAGCTTATTACAAGCTCTGAGCCAAACATGACTTGGCTGCTTTCGAAGGTAGGAATGTGACTTTAGGGAGCGTACATCTCAACCACACAGAAAGTCGTCCGTATCCGTTGTCAGCCAGCCATGTTGTATAATTGATGTTTAATTCTGGTTGTCTTTATTCATGTTATTTTAAAGCAGAACATTGCTGGCAGGACTTCACACAATGGCAGGAGAGGTCTAGAATGGTGCGTTTCACTGTGGCAGGTGCAGATCTGAACACTGTAGGTGGGGACTGCCTCATGTTTCTATCAGTATCAGAATAGCTTGCTATGGAATAAATACCCCTTCCTCAACTTCTCAGCACAGAAGTCACTTGGTCGTTTCTGGACAGTACCGTAGGAAGTCTCCTGGGTAGGTCTGGTTCCTCTTCACTTGGCAGTCCCCTGTCATCAAGTGGCCCTAGTGCTGAAGCCTGATCAAGAGTGTCCAGCCTGAAGCCTGCCCCCTCTTCAGGTTACAATGAAAATATTTTTAAATAAAGTTTTTTACTTACATATGTGAACTATATTGTGTATTTGATGTGTGGCCCAAGACAATTCCCCTTTACTCAAAAGAGGGTAGAAAAAACGGTGGGCCACAGGGTGGATGCATCCATAGGCTTTGAGAAAGTTTTGTCAGATCAGAGCTACTCTCCTGTTGACTTTAGCATGCGCCTTGCTCAGTTCTTATTTGTCCTTGTCTTTCCCTGGTGCTTGTAATTCTAAATGGGATAATATTAAGTCAGTACACGTTGGGATACCTTGCTATCCTTGGACGTGAGACATACTTTTGTGCCTGTAAATATCTGTTTTCCACATTTTAGTAGCCTCTGAGATGTCAGACATCATCACCTGGCAAATGATGTAGTAATATAAGTGTAGTTTAGGTCAGCTATTTTTTAGGTCCTTTTTATAACTGACAGCAGCATTCATTTTTCTTTTCATCACAACTCAGAGACTTCCAGAATGCTTCAAAAAGTGGCAACAATTGTGGGATAAGTGTGTTGAAAGTGAGCAAAAGTATTTTGAGGATTATTAATTACCTTGTATCTTTTACTATAATAAATGTTTAAAATTTGGACCTTCACCATATTTTCTGATCACCCCTTGCAGCAAAGGCTCTGTCAGCCAAGTAAACCAGATTCAAGGCCATCACTGCCATTGAGAACCTGACCTTAAGCAGGAAGCTCCTTCCCAGCCGTGGGTATCATTGTCCCGTCTCTACGATGAGGATAGCTACCTGCTTTACAGAATAGAATGAGTGTTTAGCGCTATAGCTACACATGATAAAAATTTCTTTCAAAAAGCCCTTGTTAGCCACCTAAAGGCAGCAGCAGTCTGGATAAGGTACTGAAAACACATCACTGGGCCAGGCTGTGTGTCTGTGTAGGTGTTAAGTGTTCACAGTATTGGAAATTTCTTATATTTTGAATTAATAACAGTGGGAAATGGCTTTCTTGTCTCTCAAGGGCTGTAGAACAGTGATGGCGGACCTTTTAGAAACAAGGTTTGCAACCCAAAACCCATTTATTTATTGCAAAGTGCTAGCACTGCAGTTAAACCTGAATGCGGAGGTTTTAGTTTAGAAAAAACAACTCATATGTTAACATCTTTTATCCTAAAAAAAAAAAGTGTGCCATAGGTTCACCACTGCTGCTGTAGAACTTTGTTTCAAAGCATCTTGTTCCTTACTAGTCTTGGGAGTAATTTTTAATTATACAAGTTATACATGCTTCACAGTAAACATTACAGCAATAGAGACAAATAACAAATTAGTGAAAGTGCCTCTTTGTGCTTTTACTCTAACCCCAAACTCATTTCCCTTTGGTTTGGGTTTTGATAGGTTTATTGGCCAATGAATTGATTAAGTTTTCTTTTTCAAATTCAGAACACTGCCTGAGTATCACTCATTATTTTCAGTGATTGCTTATATTGTCTGAAGAGAAAAACGCCTATTCTAGTGGTCCTCTTGTTAACAAAGGTGCTCTTGAACTCACTGGCCTGTGTGGTTCATAACACCTTAAAAGCCCCAGCTGCAAAGCTCGCCAGCTCACATAAAGCCAGAGTTTAATTGAGCTGCACTGTAAAAAGCTCTAATGATAGAGCAGCCACTGGTAAGAGCGGCCGGAAAGCTGGGGTGAGGGGCCCTGAGGGCGCAGTCAGCCCTCCCAGCCCTTGGCCAGGGAACCTTCAGTCGTGTGATTACAGAAAATGGGCTTTACTAGTATATTTCTCTTGTTCAGTTCTTAAAAGTCGCTGTGTAAGGTAGTAAGTCTACTTGTTGAAGGCATTGTTGTGGCTACCATCAGATTCCAGGGAAAAGAGGTTAAAAAGAAAATGTTGAGTTCCGAAAAAGGTAATGTACCACAACAGTGGAGTGAACTTTATGTCAAAATACAGATATTTGCGTCTTATACTATAAGCTGGTTCTTCTTTAAAATAATCTTATCTACAGTAAAATAAAAAACTCAGTGTCTAACATTGTTTACTTAAAGGGTTGAAATTAGTGCTCACATAGCAGTGTCTAAAGCTGATTTTCAGCTGTCGCAGTGTGCACAACCGTGTTGAGGTACTTCTGGCCTGCCTTACCAGCCCAGGGGAGGCCGACTCCCACAGCCTTCCAGTGCCTCACTTCTGTGATGAAGCAAGTAAGGTGACGCCCGACAGTGGAGCGACTTGCTGGACCCTGCACCGGCGCTGTGGCCCAGAGTCCAGTGGGGTTGGCCTGGGCCTTGCTGCTTGTCAGATAGCAGGGAGTGCGCATCCCTGTCTGGCGGCAGCAGTAGCCAAGTGGCAAGTCCAGAACCCGTGTCAGACGTATTTATTTCACTAATAATGCAGGAGTGGGATATGTGATTTAAATGGCCCAGTGCAAAACTGCCAGGGAACCCCAGCGTGCCGAAAAGCGTCTGCTTGTTACCCTCCCTACTCTGCAGTGACCCGGCGCCCTGTCTCTCTCACACACTCAAGTTGCCCTTTCCTTGCAGCCTGAGAGGACAGTACCTTGTGTCCTCTCACTTTGTAGTTCAGCCAGGCCTTGACTTCGCTGTGTTGCCCAGGGTGGCTTCCAACTTGGAGCAGTCCTGCTGTCTTACTAGTCTTGCGGGTTCTGGGGTTACAGGCTGTGTGCTGTGTGCTGCCATCCCCAGCTCGCGCACTATTGTTTTAACCCAAAAATAGGGAAAAGCAAAATGGAATTCTGCCTTGTGGTTTACTACTTCTACCAGATTTATTATTTTATTGAGAAGGCAGTGACACTTTTTTTAAGTTCTGGTCATTTTGAGAGGATGATTGTTGGGAGGGAACCTAATTTTGTGGCCCTGGCAGATAAGCTGTTTGAACATGTAGTGTCTGAATTGTTGGAGAGTACCCCAACCCGCTTGATGCTCATTTCGTTGTAACGAAGACAGTGCCTCCCCCAGCCAGGACTGGCCTGAAACATAGATGACTGCCAAGCAGGACGATTTGCTCCACCCATAATTAATTGCTCAGTGCTTCCTGTGAGGTACACCAGTGGTCAGGGTGGACAGTCTCACTATCCACGGAGCTTAGACAGAGTAGGAATAACCACACTGATTTCAACTGGAGAAGGGAGGAAATGCCGCACAATACAATGTTACAGTGCAGGTCTCCGGCTGAAGAGAGGTTTTACTCCACAAAATTACTGAAGCTTTCTAGACACCACCAGCTACCAAGATTGTCATTAGCACAAGGTAAGTAGTAGTTGGGGACTGGTCACTGAAGGATTTGATCTGCCAGTAGCCACCCATTCTCCTGCCTCCTTTGAGGACACATGAAATCTGAGTCCTAAAAAAAAAAAAAAATCTGAGTCCTAAGTGGTAAAGCGAAGGCATAGGTGGTGTTCTTGTTTGATTTTTAATCTTTTTCGGTTGAAGGCCATCTCTGGCAGAGGTATGGGAACCAAGCAGATGGTTTTACACGTAGGATCAAAGAGAAGTTAGTTTTTCCAGGCCGTGGTTTATAGTATCAGTATTTCAGGGTTCTAAGATGGGCCCTGGGAAGCTGATGCCAAACTGGGTTAGGAGTGTCGCAGTCGGGCCATGGCATGTAAAGTCGGGAGAGAGCCCGAGGCTAGGCAGCCTCAACTCTGCCCTGAAGTCTCGCGCCGTGGAGGGAGGAGGGTAAGCAGGAATGTAGAGCTGGGTAGAAAAGCCTCAGGAGGTAGCACATTTGGCCAGCGGGCCAGACAGTGTGCCCGGGGAAGTTGCCAAGGAGAGCAACCCCATCCGGGCGAGCCAGGCCAGCGCTGTGCCCACCACACTGGGTCGCTGGAGAGCCAGTGATCTGCATCCCTGCTGGCTCCCCTTGGAGTGCTGGTCACCGGCACGCCCCGCTCCAGGCCGTTTCTGGTTGGCTGGGACAGGAGGTACGGGAGTGCTCATCGGAGTCCTCTGCAGCCCAGACAACCTGAGTCTGCAGGAGCTGTGTCCTCGAGAGAGGGGCGCCCTCCCAGGGCCTGAGGGTGTGGGACAAGGAGCTAGGCAGGGCAAGGCTTGGGTGGCGGTGACCAGGCTTCGAGATCTTACTGAGATGCAGTGGAAGAACTGAAAAAGTCCCCAGCGGGAGACAGCCTAGAGTACATTTGACCACAGGCCGTAGCCGACTGCGTGGAGAGGCGTCTGGGGTCTGGAGAGAGAGGTGAGAGACAGTAGTGTAAGCACAGTCACCGAGTGGAGGGCGCAGAGGTGGACCTGGCCGTGTTGGCTTCTCTGCGGAGCATGAGGTGACAGCTGCCCAGGGATGTGGCAGAATCAGCAGGATGGGTCGTGACGCCCTGCATTGCTGCCTTGGTCACTCATCATGGAGACGGTACCTGAAAGCCGCAACGGAAAGGAGCGTGTTTTGCCTCACAGTCTAGAAGTTTTAGTGTAGCGGGCTGCTCCGAGGCAGAATGCCGTGGTGGAGGAAAAGCTGCTTACTTCATAACGGCCAGGAAGCAGAGAGGAAAAAGGGCCAGAGAGGGAGATGAACCCGGGCTGCAGCCGGTGACCTCCCCCACCTCCCAACAGTATGGCAGCTGTAAGGCCCAAAGCTAGTCACATCCCAGAAGTCCCAGCTGTGCACACATGAGACTGGGGGACATCTAGACACAAACCATAATACTTGCGATAATGGGGAAGCTGAGAGGAGGAGAACATGGGGAGAAGAGTGGGAGGAAATTGAGAACTGTTCTGGACGTAGCCAAGTGGCAAGGTCAGACACCCTCTACTCAACACATGTGTCCAGAGCCAGGCGTGGTGGCGCACACCTGTAATCCCAGCACTTGGGAGGCTGAGGCAGGAGGATCGTTTCAAGTTCGAGGCCAGCCTGGGCTACAAAGAGAGTTCAAGACCAGCCTGAACTACATCGTGAGACCCTGTCTCAAAAAGACAAAAAAAAAGCACGTATGTCCAGAGGTGTTTGAGCGTAGGAGAGGTGCTGGCTGGAGTTAAACATTCCAGAGTTGTGAACGTGTATGAGGTACTGAAAGCCATAGGGTGGGCGGGTTACTTGGAAGCCATTGTAGACGAGCAGAGCCCAGGATCTAGACCTGAGGAACCCCAACATTCAGATGTGGAACAGAGGAAATGGTGGGGCGCAAAAGCTCGGGAGGGAGGACTCACCTCAGAGAGCAGGAGATGGCACAGGAGAAGCCTCAGCTGCCCAAGGGCACCGTGGTCTGCCCACCAAAGAGAGGGAAGGAAGGAAGTGCGTTAGTGGGTTAAAGCGGGAACAGCGTGTGTTTCGTCACTGGAGGAGGGTGCAGAGTTAAAGTCTTAAACTTTTGTTCTAGGGTAGAAGTTGTAAAAGGAATTGAGACAAGTAGTTTTCATGCTGATTGGAAAGGCAAAAAAGAACCACAGAAGCCCTGGCCACGAGAGGCCAATGCCCAGGTCAGCCAGGACGCCCCAGGTCGGGACAGTCGGGTGGCTGGAAGACGGTCACGCATGGTGGGCAGCGTCACTCCTGTGTCACAACAAGCCCAAAACTCCTGTAGGAATGCAGAAAGCTGCCCAAAACAAAGCCAACCCCAAGGACCTCGTAACAGAGCCCCGACAGTAGGAGGAAGAGGCTTCTCCCGCCTCTGCTGTCAATAGCAGCAGCTACAAGAAGGGCAAGGTCAGCCTTGGGCCTCGGGGACAGTCGGACTGACCCTGAACCAAGTAACAAGGTCTGTTTCTGCCCTCGCGACTCTGTTTCCTGCCTGGCACAGCGTCCTGGCTTTCTGGGTCTGAAAGCATCACTGGCCACAGCACAGAAGGTCAGGGGCCAGAAGTCATCCATTGTCACTACTTTGTCAGGGTTCCCAAGCTCCTGGTTGCCTCTTGCCAGCAGCTCCCCTGGGAGCAAACGGCACAGCAGAACACAAGAGCCAAAGCTCGCCGTGCAAAGGAGACTGGACAGAACGTGCTAGGCAGACTTCAGTAACCACCAAGAAAGACTTTAAACTGGAAAGGTGGAAAACTAGCTCAGATGAAGCCATACACTTGGTATTCATAACGTGTGACATGAACATAGAGCAATTGGAAAGTGCTTGAATTTACACGGGAGAACAGCAGGAGGAAAAGGCAAGGGAATGAGGCACCCGATCTCCAGCTAGGAGAGCAAATGTGAAGCCAAAGAAACATTAGCACCTGGAGGAAATCACACTTCTGCAGGCCCCTGAAATGCCTGACGAAAGGGGAGGCAGAGGAGCGGCATATATCCCAAAGGTATCTAAATACATGGCCAGACACCTGTGTGAAGAACCATGATGGAGAACGTTTGAGTGGAGAGAAAAGGTGAGAGAATCAGAAGTCATTTTTGCCATAGGGGCAATTTGAAATTTAGAGACATTCCTCAGATGATTCTGTCCACCGACCTGGATCAGCTCAGGCCTCCTCTTGCTAAGGGCCCAGGAGTATGGAGGCCACAGCTGGAACCATTTCATCAAAGCCTGGCTGCAGCCTCACAGGACAGCAGACAAGATTTCCTGTGGAAATGAGCCTTTGAAACCAGACGAGAGCCGTGATAGTTTTCTGAGGGGTAGGTTTGCAGTGATTCTCCGCTCCAGTAAAATCACTGCAGGATGCTCAAACTACAAATGCCCAGCCCACCCAGACCAGATAAATGAGGACCCCTGGAGCAGGCATGAGGGGCTGTTTTTGTTTTGTTTTGTTTTAAACTTTCCAGGTTTTTCTAATGTGTGGCCAGGGTCAGGAACCACTATTTTTAAAACTTGAGAAAAGTAAAACTTTTTTAAAAGGCTGTATGCGGCACCTATTTTCTCTTCATAGCAAAGAACTCTGTCTTTGCATTTCTCCTCCGTCAGAGGTAGTGTTGTGAAACTTCGGACAAAACAAACATGGTCAAGAGAACCTCTAGTATGGTGATGGTGAAATTTTTAGAGATGAAATACCAAACTGCAACCCAAAACCCACTTATTTATCACAGAGTGTTAACACCGCAATTAAACCTGAATACTGAGGTTTTAGTTTAGAAAAAACAACTCTATATTAACATCTTTTGTCTTAAAAACACAATAACACACATGCCGTAGGCTCCCCACCACTGCCTTAGTAGTTGTGCAAAATATATTTATGTCTGACAGCCCTAACAAATTGCTTTCGGATCTCTGAAAAGATTCACAGATATAACTAAATGTCTGCGCCTCTTAAAGCTTATGATAAATGGACAGTGGCCAAATGGCAGAAATCAAGGAACTGTTAAAAAAGAAATTCACATACAATACAAGCCAATACACTTGAGTGTGTTTCCTGGGAAAACTGCAGCATGCTTAATTCAAAACGCAATTTGTGACGGTCAAACGTGGTATGCATGTTATTCGGAAGGCTGAGTCAGGAGGATCAGATGTTTGAGATAATCTGTAAGACTTTACAAAGAAATCAGTAAGAAAGAATGAACTATTCTTATTTGGGTACATGAGAGGATGTGAGCAGTAGAAGGTATCCCTCATTGGATAAAACCATTCAAAATAGCTTACCAGGGGCTGGGGATTTAGCTCAGCGGCAAAGCGCCTGCCTGGCAAGCGCAAGGTCGTGAGTTCGGTTCCCGGTACCAGAGAAAAACCAAAAAAAAAAAAAAAAAAAGCTTCCTGTATGGTGGAGAAAGATAGACCAAGTTATTACGCAGTTAAGCAGTTTAAGTGAATATACTGCTTGAACAGCCAAGCCCCACTGACAGCGGAATGGTGCTTCACCTAGAGGAAGAGAAATCTCTAATTCTTGGATTCTTTCAAAGCTATAGTTGTTGTCTCATGTACCCTCTTTGTTTCTAGAAGTAAATTTTAATGTGAACGATCTTTTCCACAGTGATGTTGTGCTCCAGCCCCAGGGTGAGTGTGGGAAACCCTGAAGCAGCCCAACGCAACTCCTTCCCAGTCCTTCCTTTCCCAAGCCTCACCCTGTCCTAGAAGGGGAAAGAATATAATGCAGACCTGGCCCTGGCCTTCTGGTCTCTCGTCCACCCTCAGCTGTTGTTTTCCAGCTTTAACTTTGGTGACTCACTCCACAGTTCTGATCCAGACAATAGAGAACCATTTTAGCAAGAACACTGACCTGATTTTTCGTTTCCCGTAGATGTCCAAAGCCCCGCCCACCGCCCTGCAGTGAGCATACCAGCTCTGCCTCCAAGCGCTTTGCTGGCCAAGTTCACTACCTTAGAGGTGACCAGTCACGCACTAAGTGTGCTCTGCAGACACCACTAAGGATGAAATCTTAGAGATGTTTGCTTCCCAGAATCCCCTGTGAAAACCCCATCTTTTTTCCCTAGTAACTAACCCAGTTTTCCAATCACATGAATTTTCTGGAATATTTTTGGAGAGAACCAGCTTTACTGAAGAAGAGCTGCTGAGTCTTTGAAGCTGTCTTTGCTTCAGATGTTGACAAAGTTTAATTTAGTCTGTGAACACAAAGAGCTAGGAGGTAAACTTTAGTGAAGAAGGTGCAAGCAGGAGACCTAACATCGCAAGGTCTGTAGCACGTGGCATAGGGGCCAGGCTTCTAGCTTCCTGCCTCACTGTTCCTTCCTCGTCTGCAGAGTCCAGATGGCCTATAGAAGCCTCATGTCAGTCCAGGCCGGAGATGGGAAGGGGATGTCCACTCCCAGAGGCTGCACGTGGTACTCCTCCACGTGTGCGCGCACACACACACACACACACACACACATACACACCCACGCCGCACAAAGAGGAAGTATGGGAAATGTCTTTATTTGGGGGCAGCCAGTAAAACAGATTCTCCTGAGAGAGAGAGGAAGAGGACAGGTGTTGGACAATGAATTGTCTTTCCAGCGAGTTCCTGAAACTACAAAATATTAAGTGGTCCAGGAAGGGACAAATCATTATCTCATCCAAAGAATGACATCGAGCTTCGAGCAGCAGAGACCCATCAGAAAGGCTGGCGCTCTGGCTGGATTTCCTTCAGTGGCAGTCAGCATGCTGTGGGGATCCTCCTCTGGGTGGCCTGGGGCGGGTCCCCAACCTGCCTTCTACGAGGCCCTGGGCTTCCTCCGCGAATCACAGGCCGCACAAAGCCGCTGAAGAGCCGGTCAGAAAGTGCAGGCCTGGTTAAAGGAAGAACCTGTTTTCCACATGTCCCTCTTCATACGCTCCTGTCTGCTTTCCTGTCGCTGCACGCCTCGCATGTCACCACGGTGACTCCAGTCAATCCCTGGGCACTTTTCATGTATCTTTAGATTTAGTGCATTCTTTCCACTAAGCTCCTCCCTTTGGTTCCTCCAGCTGCTTAAAACAATTTTCTGGAGCATGCGAACAAACCCACATACATTCTTCTTCTTTCACGTCTTTTTTAAACAAAGAGAATGCTGCATTCTGTTACAGGAAAAAAAAAAAAAAAGGCAGCAGAGACAATTCCGTCCTCAGGGCCACATGGTGGATCTCTAGTCGAGCATTCTTTTTCCACCTGTGTGGAACTTTAATTAGTTCAAGTGGGAGGTCGGTGCCAAGAAAGGGGGCGCCACATCCCAGTCGAGATCTGCAGAACAGATTTCTTCCCTTACTAACGCTATTTCCAACTGAGTCCTGCCTGCGGCTTGGATACAGAAAGCATGTGCTCTAGATCCCAGCCACCAGCCCTTGCCAGCTGGGGAGCTGTCGCCGTGAGTTACCAGCAGAAGAGCAAAGCTCCAGGTTCCATTTGCAGTGCGTTACAGAGGATTTCACACGCAATCGTCTCGGGTCAGCCCCACACTCGCCCTGCGAAGGAAGTAAATAAAGTCGCCGCCATTTTGGCGATGAAAAATTGAGGCTCGGATGTTAAGTGACAGAGAATGAACTAAAACGGGGCCCAATCTGTCTCCGCGTAGCTAATGTAAGATGTCCAAGAGCTGTCTATGGTTAGAAGAGAATGAACGTCTATTTTTAACAGTGTGCTACATGTTCTGTTCTTCTTTCCAGAGTCCAAGATTGTCCTAAACTTTGGCTTGATAGAATCATTTCCCATGATCCTGTGAGTTAAGCTTTGATGTTCTCTTCTGCGGGATCTTACTTTGCTGTGCGGTCGTGGATGTTCCCTTTGTCATTTACACCTCTGATATTTTAGTTCTCTGCCTGAAGATTGTGCCACTGTGAAGCTGCTGCAGTAGGGAAAGCAATTCTTATAAATGCTACTTAAGAGTTAGTTAGAATTAAAGGGACTATCTATAAATATTGCTGTCCAGAAGCCTTCTGAGTATTTCATTTCTAATGGAAATACTGGGTGTTTTAAGCAACATTGTTCACTATAAAATATTCTGTAAAGGGGGGAAAAAGAATCCCATGGGGGTAAGAAGAACGATTTTTTAATAAGAACTAGCCAGTTTTCACAGAAAGTTCTATAACCAGCTTATAACATGGCAAGGAAATGTATTTTATATTAAAAATAGCTAAGAGCACAGTCATTGTGATGGTTTGGAGCAAGAGTCAGTGCTGACTCTTTGAACATGAATTGGCGTGGATCTACATGAGCTTTTTAAGAGGAAAAATTACAAGTTTTGGAAAACCTAAGAAACTTTAAAAGTGTGTCATTCACGATGTAAAATTAACGCCGTTGAAAGGCAGTGGTTGACTCAGAGCTCCCACATTGAGCTTCAGTTCTCTGGAGCTCAGATGGTTTTCTTTAAAAATTAGTGATATCAGCTCTGTGGGACTGGTTCCCACCCCTGCCCACGGAGCAAAGCACTTTTGTGCACATGGCAGCTGGGGCCCTCGTTCCACGCCACCAGGAAGTGCGGCAAAAGCAAGCTGTCTCTCCACGCTTGATCCCCAGTCTGCGTCAGTGCAGGAGCACAACCCCCAAACAAGGGTCCTAGAGTTCCTTCTTTTTATTCTATGCACATAAGCCACATTTTTTGACTGAAAGAATTTTAAACCTAGGTGGAATCTCTGAGGTCTTCCCGTTCGGCCTCTTTGTCGTGTACATGTGGAAGCAAAGGCACAGAGAGGTTCAGCAGCTCCCCCAGTCTCACACAGCTGATAATGGTACGTCGAGGGTCAAACCCAGACCCTTGGGTTGCAAGCTCGAAGCTCCTTCCACTGCCTCTCTTCACAGCAAGGAGATGATCCGCCCCCAGAGCATCAGCCCTTGCTCCTCCCACAGCTCCACAGCACCTGTGACGCTGTCATGCTGAAGCTAACTGGGAGGCCCTTTGCCACTGTCCTGAAGGAGCCCTCCAGACCTGGCTGCCGGCCCTCTGCCTCCCCAGAGCTCTTCAGCTGCACTCTGCAGTCAATTTTGGCTTCTTCGGACTGAGCAGTTCCTTCGTTGATTCTGTGATTTGCCTTCCAGGGACCTCCTGGACACTCATTTTCAAGTCTCTTCTTATTAAAATGAGACCCGGGATGGCCCTCCTCCCGCCTGTTCCCCCTCCCTGGGTTCCCAGTGCCCTTTGACCCCACTGCCCTTCTTCCTGTCCCCAACCCTACAGCCTGGCCATCTCCGCCTCTGCTTCCCTCAGCCAAGAGGATCCACATGGACGCTCTGCGCCCCACTGCTCGATGGCATTTTCAGCTAGACTGTGGAAAAGCCTCTTTGCTGGTTTCCTTCAGTCGCGTCTCTGCAGAGCTGCTGACCTGAACTCCAGCAGTCTCAGGAAGCCTCACCGCGGTCAGTTTAACCCCTCTCGGACCAAGACGCACCCCCCGCTTGTGAATTGAAGATGAGGAATGAGAACATCGGTGTCCAACACAACGCTTCCCATCTCCTGGGCCGAGTGAGGACTCCCTACCGCCTGGCGCTGAGCTTTTTCCCTAACTTCCCATGCCCCGCCTTTCCCAACGAGCGCCCCCCTGAGGTCACACCTAGCCCACACTTTCCCGACTGTTTGCTCGCGCAGCACCAGTGCTGGGTACCGTGTGCTGAGGGGGAGCCCTTGCCCTGTCTCCGGAGGCTGTCGCCCGCCTCTTCTCCATCCCTCACAACAGCCTGCACCCAGCAGGCCCAAGGCTGAGCGGTAGGTGAATGCATTCAGCGCAGAATCCACTAGAATTTTCTGGCCCTCACAATTTATTCTGATGTACACTGGGCCTCCAGTCAAGCAAACTCTTCAAGCCTTTTTTTATATAAGCTTTAAGCTAATTCTCTCCCAGTCTTTTCCTGGGCTCTTCTGAACTGATACTCAGAGCTTTTCAGTTAAAGTTTAATTTTCACTCATTGTTCTTGTCTGCAGCCGATCCTTTTTGATTCCTAAGTCTCCTGTCCAGTTTATCAGCTTCGTACTGTGTTATCCACAAGCGAGATGTGTAGAGTGATCATTCTGCATCGAGGTTGTTGATGCAGATATTGTGCAGGAGAAAAACCAATAGCCTGCTAGCTCGGCACCTCTTGCTGTAACTTGGTAATGATCTCTCATCTAGCCGTCTTTGGATAGAATTATTTAACAGTCCATGGTGATTAAGCTTAACCGTGTCACCTCGATTGCTTTGGAAGCCGCTTCGGGAGATGGTGGTGAACCTACTGCATGCATGCCGCAGGGGGCTGTTTGTATCACTGGAAGCTCTTGAAAGTCCACCGTCAGTGACCTAGGGGATTAGTACAGCATAGTTCTGGGTATGTATGAGTAGGTCTCGGAGGTATGACGTGGGTACAGTACCTGGTCCCTGCCGCCTTCCCCTCTGGTGCAGTTCCCCTGCTCTGCTTGCCCACTGTTGTAATCCGGGTTTGCGAGGAAAACAATACAGTACAGGACACATAATTTATAGGATTATTTAATAGTAGTCACCCAAAAAGTCAAGTACAAAAGAGTGCAGGAAATCTGTCCACACACTAAAGACCCAAAGAATCCAGCCGAGAGCCTGGATCCCATAACAATGTCCCGCACAAGTACAGCCGAAGACCTAAAACTTTGACAGTGCCCTCCACCTGTCCAACTGGAGGCCTAGAGCCCACAACAATGTCTCATGCAGGTCTGTCTCACGGATCTGCACTGGGAAGGACCAAAGGTCAGTGGTGGAAGCTAGAAAGTCTGTGCCAGCAGGCTGAGGGCTCTGCACTGGGCCAGGGAGCAACGCTCAAAGAGTCAGAGCTCCTCTGAAAAGTACCGCAGCCATCCTCAGTGACAACAAGGTCCCAAGATCCCCCAATGATGAGAACAGCCGAGCTCATACGAGGAAAGCCAGCGTGACAAGCTGCTCCAGGAGAACCAACAGCTCCACCTCTTCCTCTGTCGTTCTCTTCTTTATGTTCTTGGCAACCATCCTCAGGTGGGCCCTCCACACTGAGCACCACGCTGATTCAGTTCAGCTGGGTGTTACAAATTGACCACCGGTTGTCCATCCACCACACCCACCACCATGAACTGAGCAGCTTCGCTCCACCGAGCTCCACCACCATGATGTTCCCACCTTGGAGTCAGTTGACCGTAGCCTGAAGCCCCTGGAGCCATGACCCAAATTAGAATTCTCCTGTAAGCTGTTGGTATCACGGCTAAGCAACAGGAACCCTGACTAATACACCGTCCATGACTGGCCCCTCATCATGCGCACAGACAACAAGAATAATTCATTCAGCTCATTTACTGAGAACCAATCATGAACAAGACAGTATACTAGGCACTGTATAATGTAAAATATCAATTAAGATTTGGCCCCATTCCCTCTTTGAGCTGCAAAAAGCAAGTAAGATATAGGAACAGACAAGTACAGCAGCACAGAATGTGAGCCAGATTGGAAATGTTAGGCCAGTGCTTTGAAGGCTCCTTGGGTGGACCCGCGCAGAATGACCAGGCTTTTCACCGATGAAGATGAGGTACAGGCCAAACTGTTACAGCAAAGACAGCCCAAAACAGCTGTACTACAGTAGCCCTTCATTTTTTATCTCCATGGTCAAGATTCAAGTTCAGTTGTAAAAAGAAGTCATTTTAAGGACATAACCAGGAAGTTGCCGGCATGGCTTCTGCCCTTCTCACGCTGGCCTGACCTTAGTCACGTGCCACGCCCAGCAGAGAGGGATTCTAGGAAATGTAGTTTGTACCCTGGGTAGCTGCACACCCAGCTAAAACTATGGCATTCAAGGAGAAGCGGACTACTGAGAAGACACCTGGCATTCAGCCAGCCCAGGGAGAGAGAGAAGAGCTCCGCACGAGGAGAGAGAGAAGAGCTCCGCACGAGGAGAGCGCCGCAGGAGGGGGGTCTGACTGGTAGTCATTGCTCAGGGAGCGGAAGTTACCAGCAACAGAGATCTGGATCTAGTAGAAAAAATTGGAACACTTAAAGAAAGAATGCGGTGTCTTGGGTCAGGCTTCTCTGCTTCTGAAAGTGAGCAAGAAAAACGTTCAGTCAGAAGTATTTGCCCTTTGAGAGGATGGAAAAAGGTCAGGGCCAGCCCTGTGGGGAGCACAGCCGCAGTCGGAGAGGAAGGAGGGAGAGAGGTGAGCTCGCCCTCTGGGCCCCCTAGGAAGCGGGGAGCGGGTGTGGGAAGCACTGGCCTCAAGCGGCCAGCGTGGAGCTGCAGCCCTGCGGGGAGCCCCTTGGCCACGTGAGGAGTGGGCACAGCTGGCCGCATCTTCCCGAGCCCAGGAAGTCGAGCGGTGTTCCCCTCCTGGAATCTCGGGCTTCTTCGGATTGAGTTTAGAAAAAGGTGTTTTGCTCGCAGCAGAAGTGTTTATTCTCCCTCCGCCCTGATTTTCCTTTCTGCTTAAATTCAGTAAAAGGATGAATGAATTTTAAAATAATGGGCTTCATTGGCCCCCCCTCTTAGTTTGCCAAAGGTATTTAATCTGGTTCTGATGGGAAGTGCTTTGTGTAACAATAAAAACTCCTTTCCTTTGGGGGATGCTCTTGCTTTGTGTCTCATCCAAGAATGATATTTCACATCTGCTAAATAGTAACGTTTCCCCCACTAAGCAAATTCCAAACCAAGAGGGTCAAAGCCCGCAGCTCCCAGCAGCAACTGAGGGCCGCGGTTGCAGAATGAGCTGTGGATGGGTGAGCAGTCTTGTCCGTGGACCACTGTGGAGACCGAGGCTGAGCAGAGGGGCCTGGAGATGATCCTCTCGCCTGAACTGCCGGGAAGGAAGGTACACCCTGCGTGCTAGCGAAACCATAGGCACCTCCTAGTATCCAGCACTCACGGGCACATGCCGGGCTCTGCGCTTTGATGGGGCAAGCTCCTCTTTCCTCCCATTTTGCAGATGAGGGAGCTGAGCTCAGAGAGGCTCAGTGGCTTGTGCAAGCTGCACAGGATTTGTGCCACAGACCTCCAGAGTACAGCGCTTAGTCACAGCACCGCACCCCTCAGCCGGTCTCACCGTGCGCGAACAAACCTGCTCCCTGCCTCTCGGGACTTGAAAGCCAAGACACAATGTCACCGGGAGGACTCCGGGACCAGGAGCAGGCGTGAGCCTGGCCCAGGAGGGGCAGGGGACACAGCGGAGCTCCGGGTGGGGAGAAGACACGGGGCAAGGCCATTTCCAGACCTGGGTGGCACACAGGGCCAGAGCCAGGCTACTTAGCCTTACCCTGCCTCGCTTCCCTAACGCACGGGAACATAATAACCGCCTCCATCTCCAGGGACTGTGTGAGGGCCGAGAGAACATATTTAGGCAGAGGCTGTCAGTTCTCCTAACTACCCTCTGTCTTCTTTCTCCACTGTGACACACTGCTGCTTTCTAACCTCCCAGAACAAACACTGCGCCTCCCAGTCTCCCCTGCAGCTATGTGTGGCCGTATACTGAAACGTGAGCAGATGCTCTATGGCACCTGTTGGCCAAGGGCAGCTGGCATCTATTCTTTGCTTCTTTTCCCTTTGTCCATTATTCTGATCTACTGCTTGGAATGTGGATGCAATATCTGGCATTCTGCTGCCATTTTGGACCAGGAGGATGAGAAAAGTGGACAAACACCATAAAGATGGCAGACCTGTGAGCTGGAAGGAAACTGTGTCCCTATAAACTTCATGACCAAAGTCAGGGCATGGGAGGTGAGGGCACGGGGAGCCCAGGACTCCAGGCTTAGCACATGATGTCTTCAGGAATACACCACCCCTCCAGCTCACAGCTCCACTGTCTCTAGGGTGTTCGTCCATGCCACAGTCCTCAGGGCCCAAAATGGCAGCAGAATGCCAGATATCACATACACATTCTGGGAGGGGATAAGGCACAATAACCCGATTTAACACAGTAACTAAAATAAGAGTAATAGCCTAAACCCTGAAATGTGGAGTAGGATATTAGGTTTCTTAAACACGTGTACCTGCAATATGAGGGACATCTGGACTTTCTCTGCCTTTGCGCTTTGCAGGCATACTCAACCCGTTCCTTGTAGTTGTTTTCTGCTGTCACTGTTCACACTGGACCACCACATTGATCCTTTTCATGTGAGCATGTCACCCTTCCCGTCAGAGCTATTCTGAGACCCTGCTGTCTCCCAGGCTGCTCCTGCAGCAGTCCTCCTGCCTCAGCCTCCTGAGTGCTGGGATCAGAGGTGTACACAAGCACGGCTGCCAGAATGGGTTCCTATCAAGGAGCCCAGGAGCAGCTCCTGTCCTTGGGACGCTAACCCTGAAAACACGCGTTATGGTTTGTTCCTCCTTTGGGGGAATGGGGCGGTTTTTAGTGTAAGCGTGGAAGAGGAAACGAGTTTTTCCTTTTTCTTCACTTGGTGTCGTTAGGCTCCGCCCGGGACACACTGCCAGCTTCTCCTCAGCACCTCCCGGGCCGCTCGTCCTGACTGCAGCGCGTGATCGGCAGGGGCCGAGCCAGGTGGAAAGGGCTCTGCGCTCGGGTTATGGTTCCCATCCCGTCCTGATCCTCAGAGCCTCGGGATCGCGGGGTCTGGACGGAAGGCTTTGGAGTCAGCCTGATTCTGGCCGGAGAGAAGCCCCGCCGCCTCCCGCCGCCGCCCGCCCCCACCCCCATTCTTCTTTTCTGCTCTCTCCTTGCCCTCCCGGAGCCCCGGCTCCCTTTCCAAGGCCAGGCCGGCTCCTCGGCTGTACGCATCAGCCGCTGTCTGTGAGGCCGGGCCGTCCGCGTCCTCCTCGGGGGCCTCGGACTGGACCCGCCTTCGCGGTTCTCCATCTCCGGCTCCGCGGCTGGGGTGCAGCCTCTGCCCGCGGCGGCCCTCGCACCCACCTCCCCGGGCGGGCGCGGGCCTGCCTCGCAGCTGTGACTCCCGCGCTGAGGGCTGCAGCCCGGACCCTGCTCTCCCTCCCCTCTGA